TTTTGTGGGCTGGTTATAAGTAGTCAATGGCTTACCTGAAAAGTAAGAAAAAAAATTTGCTCTCATTGGAAACAGTCATACTTGGACCAGTCCCTGATCACATCTTGATGTCCCTAAAAGTTTTCAAAGGGTTACTCTCTAACTATATTCACTACAAGGGGTCATCTCCCTGACATGACTTTTTGTAACTTTGGATGTCTGAAACATGGAATGTAACGAGGATGTAGATGCATGCAAGAGGAAAAACTTTAGAATCCTGGTATAGACCTTCCTGAGGAGGCTGATGATTGTGATCCCTTTATAGTTTTATACACCCTGGTAATCTTCTACAAATAGGGGGAAAAATACCCTCCCAGTCAAGGGACAAGTTGCAGCAGCTCCATAACATCCAGAGACATGAGCTATTCAGGGCAAATCTCATCCATCCCTAATGCTTTTTCAGTATGGACCACCGCTTACCCCTCCTGAGATGACAGCATGCAAATGTCCACCACAGGGTTTAGGAATTGCTGTCCTGACAAGTGCAACACCCCTTAGCGATAAGCAGCTGCATTGATAACAAAGGCAGAAAACATGATCTGCTCATGTCACCAGCCTCCCTGTGTGACACTCCTGGAAGTGAAATTTGAATATGACCTTAACTGAGGATAGATATCAGCTTTAGCTTTGTCTAGTTTCAGAAACATTAAATTAATAGACTGTTGGTTTCATCAGTCGTCAATATTATGATTTTATGTTGAGCTGCACAAAGAATAATTAATTAGGGTTAGAATTAAAAAAAATTAGACATGAGTGCTCAGTTGACAATTTTATAATACTCATTTCTTTTGATGCTCAGTTGAATTGTTTTTGCTTTTTACACTGTATTACTTTTAATATAGACAGTAATTTTCCAGGTGAACTCTGTTTTAAAGAACCCCCCCCTTTATGCTTTTAAAGTTTCTTTCATTTTACTGAGAAATGCAGTGATAAATATTAAAGTAAATATATCATGCTGAGACGGCTTTATGTCCCAAAAGCTCATAAATTAAGGGATTTATCAAATGTCTGCCTAATGGTCTTAGGAATTCTGAAAATGGAAACCTTAATAAATCCCATTTGTTCACTGCTCACATAATATGGCTGGAGATCATGCAGGATGCATTATCATAGGTAGAATCAGTAGATTACCTCAGAATGCACACCTTACCGTGGCTGGATATATTTATCAGTTTAGTTTCTGCTTCCATCTACTTCTTATCCCCTCAGGCACTATAACTCGGGTGTATCTGTGGGGGCTGCTGAAATGTCCATTCGATTCAAAGGAACTGAAAACACAACTGTCATTTGGACGACCCTGTACGATCAAGGACGACGGTGGAACCAGGTTACCGTTCAGCTGGGCCGCATCACCGAGCCCTTCCAGATTGCTCTGGCTAAAATCAGCCTCGGTGTGTTCGATGGCATCTCTGCTTTTGATGATATCTCCTTCAAGGACTGTTCGATGCCACCGGCAGTGGCTGTTTGTCCTGAGCCCACACATTTTCATTGTGTGCACACCAAAGCATGCGTGGAGCGCCTGTTTCTCTGTGACCTTGTGGATGACTGTGGGGATGGATCAGATGAAGAAGGATGTTGTGAGTATCACCACTTCTGGAAATAAGAATCAGATCTCTAAACAAATAAGCATAAATTGAAGAATGATATTTATGTAAAGCTTTGTTGAAAATATCTCTTAATTCAGACATTAGTTTTTCTTATTTTGTTTATCATTTTTTATACACAAACCTTAAAACTGATTGTTTTATCCATAAAGATAATAAAAAGATACACCAAACCTGGCTCTATAAGCGAAAAAGTATTTGCTAAAATCACTTGGATAGAACCTGGATGACAACATGAAGTAGGTTAAATATAAATAGCATCTTTCTTATGAAATGGCACTGGCATTATGATGGTATCTACTGTAGATATTTTTCCTGGATGATTCACTGTAATATGTGGAGTCATAAAAATATCTGACAGTCCGCTTTTCAGATTCTCAGATGTAGATGCTCAGAACAGAGGACCAAGTATTCAGACAGACAGATAGATTACTTAAAAGTTGGATCTGCAGGGAGCAGCTAGGGCGTCAAAGGCAGGAACATCTGAAGGAAGGAAACACAGGTTAGTGACAACGTTAATCTGACAAAGGATGATTATAAACATGTGAGTCACTAACCTGGTTTAATAGGTCAGTCGTTGCCAAGAGAATGAGGTTGGATCCAGCCAGTGGGTTGGTGAGTGTCCCAGACACAGCAGCCTCGGAGGACGGAAAACAAGCAGACCAGACCCGGGCAGATGAAGTAAGGCACTGTAATCTAGAGGGCGAAGCCAAAGCCGGGGTCGAGGATGTGCTCAGGAGTAAGACCCAGGAGATCAGAAGTCTGCAGAGGTTCAAGAGGGAAATACAGGTGGCAGGAAGCAGCTCCAAGCTCAGCAAACAGGCAGAATCAACTGTACCAGGAGTCCAAAACAGGTCAGGCAAACAGATCAGACAGGAACAGGCGGGTCCAGAGGCAGAATGTGTCAGGATCAGGCAATCAGAAAACATTTTGATACACTATAGAACTCTCTCCAAGGGCTCTAATAATCTGACACTGATGACTCGAAGCAGGCAGGTTAAATAGAGGCTAGAACAGGTTGATCAGATGAAAGGTAATAAGAAATCAGGTGGAGCTGGGCAGGTGAATGAAATGAGTAATTAAGCCAGTCATCAGCACCAAGATCATGACACTTGGGTTATGCAGCAAAAAGTGTGATCTAAAAAAAACATACAAACAAATAAAATGAAAGAGTTTTGAAGTGTCCAGTTCCTGACCTAAATCGCAATAGGATGTTGTGGCTTGATCTTATAAAGGGTTTTCATGTCTAAAACAAAAATAATTCAGCATTGAATGGTTCTGCCAAGACGAATGGTGTAAAAGACAACGTACAGTACCACTCCTTAATGGTATGACCAATGTCAAGTTGGTTTGAACGGCTTTTCTTTTGATAATGATAACAATGTTTGAAAATAGTTTTTTTTTCCCCCTATTTGTTTAACTCATTCTTGACTGTTACTAAAAATTGCTTTATATGTTAAAATTGTACCGGAACTGTGTTTTATTCGGAAGGTTTTTTTTCCACTTTTCAAGGCCTTTTAAGCAATTCCTCAAAATCTTTTGAGGAATTGCTCCTATGTTTTAGGCAAAGTTTACGAAATCTAATGCTTTCTGTTTCCTAATTGAGGAACATTAAAGCATTTTTTGTTTGATCAGCTCCAGAAATTCAGTGTGACTTTGAAGAGGGACTATGCAACTGGAAGCAGGAAACAAGCGGAGAGGACGTGTTTGACTGGACCCGCATGCAAGGTCCAACTCCGACCTTGAACACAGGCCCTTGGAAGGACCACACTCTCGGGAATGTGTCAGGCCACTACCTCTACATTGAGTCTTCCACCCCCCGGGAGTTTAACGACAAAGCTGTGCTTCTGAGCCCAGTCTTTGAACCTACCTTCCAGCCAGGAGAGGATACGGATTCGTCCAGCCTCCATCGATGTGCCTTTCGCTTCCATTACTGCATGTTTGGGTCACATGTGTTCAGCCTGGCAGTGTACCTGAGGACCACTGCCACAGGCCGTGGCCTGCTGCTCTGGGTAAAATATGGAAACCAAGGAAATGTATGGCACAGGAGGACTCTCTACCTGCACAGTGCTCAACCTTTCCAGGTAAGTGATCTCAGTAATATTTCAGACTTTGAATGAATGAATGAAATTTATGTTTTATGACATTCAGAAAGAATAAATAATAAAGCTATATCCTGTCAAACAGGGATCAGTAAAAAAAAAAATGCATCAAAACAAATCAATTAAATTACAAGTCCAAAAAATGAGTGGGTACAGGTGAACACTTATAAAATTCCACCCCCTCTAATTTTTCATTATTGTTCATGAGTCAAATTCATTTAGGCAAGATAATTCAATTCCTTTCAGTTTATTATATAGTGCCAATTTACAACACATGTCATCTCAAGACACTTTACAGAGACAATTCAATCAGATCATAAAGTCAAACTGATTGAAAGTTTTCTATTTAAAGAAAACCAGCTGATTGCATCGACTCATTGACTCAAAGGCAATCCCTCACACCAAGCATAACTGTAGCGACAGTGGAGAAGAAAAACTCCCTCTTAACAGGAAGAAACCTCCAGCAGAACCAGTCTCAGTGCCATCATGTCGAGGCTGACTGGGGTTAAAGGAGACAGAAGCAGGCATATGGAAAGAAGTAGAGATACAAAAGGCAACTGTCAACCAGCTCCACAGGCGGCACTGTCCAGAAAACAAACAGCCAGGCACATTTGACACTGTCCACCTTAAAGAACAAATAGGCAACTGTCAACATTATTCCTTTTATGGATACCAATGTCTTATAAACTTAATTCTCTCATTCATGTTTTGTTTTACACATTTTTAAAAATGTTCTACTACTTTGAGCCCTTTAAACAGGTTTTCAAATCACTTCACCTTAACTCCTTGCTGCATTGTAGGAAGAGTCACCTACAGTAATGGATGCCCCTTCCCCATCCTTTGATTGTAAATGTATTAACTATAGTGATACTACAGCAAAAACTGCATAAAAGGTCATTTTTATACTTACCAGATCCAACACATTCAATATATTCTCCATATTTCAGTCATTTTCTATAGTCCTTAAATGTACTTTTATATCCGCCATGTGTCTTCATACTGTTTACCAACGTCCCCCTCTCACTGTGTTGGTCTACCTGCCTTAATGAAATAATATTTTCATTATTACTGCTGTGAATTCTCACGACACAGCAGAACTTGTACAGATAACCAAATCCTGCACTCCATTAACATCAGATGTAAATGCACACTCAATTTAATGTGTGTCCTACATGCATCCATACAGGTGTATAGTCATTCATTTTCAAGGTCTGATGTGACACAAAGCTTTCACTAACCCATTTTCAGTATAATTTAGCTCCCATTTTAGAGAATAGTAAAAAAAAAACTAAACCTTTTAAAACATCTCTGCCTTGTCCTGCATAACTTGGACATTTCCATTTATGTGTGATTTTTTTTTCTTTCTTGTATGTCATAGGAAGCTCACTGGGAACTATTAGATACTAAAATAAGGTAATTTACTGCACCTGCTGCAGTCCTACAAAACGTCAATTGCAGGTTTTGATAAGGGCCATATGGTCAGCTATCCATGGCCACATTAGGGGAAAAAAATCTATTATCTGCCAACTGCACCCTGAAAAAGTAGCCTATTGCTTTTATGTACAATATATACAACATTTTAATACATCTAAATAAGGAGATAGAATCTCCGGATGTATAATAAGAACATAACAAACTGATGGTTGCTTATCGATTTTGCTAAAAACCTTGAATTGTTTAGTGACAGCAGATACAGGGCTTGTCTGTATGCATTCCATAAGTAACTAACATAAATATTACCGTAGCAGCCCTGCTAAGATGAAAAGATATGGTTTACTTACCTTGGCAAAATGGATATTGCTTCATCTAAAAGATGCCAATATGAACTTGATATAGCTGACCCTGAGAATCACTGAAATTAATTGTAGGTGTGTATTTGGAATGGCTGGATGCTGAAATAGACTCAAACAGCATTTTAACAAATTAGTAAGGCCACTTACACTTATTCATCTTTTTGATAGTGTTTTCAAGTAACTACAAGTTACAAGTCAAATGTAATATTAAAGGCAAGATTGAAATGATTGAAACATTTTTTTTTACTAAATCATACTGGTTTTCACTGGTGAGCCATCCTAATATTGACTTTACATCTGTTTTTAGTCCGGTTTACTTGTGCTAAATCTTGACATTTTCTTCACAAACATCTGTGATATATACAGTAAATACATTGCATCTTACAAAAAAACGTAAGATTTTGTGGTCCCCTTGAAGGTAACTTTTAACAAAATACATAGTTTGCAAACATATGCCCCAAACAATATGTAATACAGTTCTAAAAGTACAGCAAAAGAAAATCTCACAAATGAAAAAGATGGCATAATGTAACTTTACACATTTCATAGACTAAAAAAAAAAAAATTATGAGCATGCTGTAAACACACCTAGAACTACTTGATTTTAAATGTGCTCAGATATTTACTTCACTGTCTAGCTTTAGTTGAAACCTTTTTTTATTACATCTGACTGTGGATCAATTTTATTCAGGGACTTTGTTTAATCCCAGATAGCTTGAGATCAGCAAAAACATATCTCTCTGGCAGCTAACAACGGATACCTGGTGAAGAAAATAATACAAATTTAGGGATGCATTCCCACACTGCATGATGAAGATCCATTTAATTGCTTTAGTGTATAACATCGATCACTGGAGATGGACCCTCTGTTATCATCAGTCATGAGTGATTTTAAGTAGACAGGCAGCTAAAGACTTTTCCTCTGCTGTGCCAATGAAACAGGAGCTCAGTTTGTTAATCTATTAAGTGCAGACAGAAATGTTTGAAATATTGACACTGATTAATGAAAGTTAAATTATTTTGTGATTAAATAATTGTACATCAGCTGTAATAAAATAGCAAGAACTTTACAAAAATTGTCAAGGGAGGACTTTTTCATATGATATTTATTGTACTACATAACATGTACGGTACATGTTTTTTTGCTACATATTCATATAATTTTCTGTAGCACATAGTTTGTTAAATATTCCTGTTTTTTAGATATTAATTGAAGGCACAGTTGGAGATGATTTTGAAGGAGACATTGCAATTGATGATCTTTCCTTTCTGGACTGTCACCTGTTTGATGGTAAACCTCTAACACATCAGATAAGCTCCTAATAGCAGCAGCTCTTCAGTCTGTGTTATTCACTGCTTTAATATTATTCTCAATGTATTATACCACAGGAGAGCTGCCCTCAGTCATCACCCCTACACTGACCACTCCAACCCCCACGTTTATACCCCACAGCTGCCCTGCGGGGCAGTTTGTATGTGGAACGTACGGAGAGTGTATTCTTCTCAACCAAGTGTGCGACTTCAAAAATGACTGCTCTGATGGATTAGATGAAACAAACTGTGGTAAAATGTCTAAAGAATAATTTCATTTTACCCTATTTTAGGAGGAGTTTTGGCCATTTTCTAGTTGCATGTGTTTCTGTGTTTCAGTAAAGGAAAAGTGTGATTTTGAAGGGGGGGATACTTGCGGCTGGAAAGTCGTCAGCAATTCTTTCAGTGTAAGCCATGCATTTCGCTGGGCGGCTGACCAGGGGGAAAGCATTCATGATGGAGAGCAGAACCACCGTCCAACAAATGACCACACTCTGTGAGTGCCAGAGAAGTGTCTATACATTACGCCTTTAGCTCAAATATTGGTCGTAATAATCACACTAAGCAAAAAAATCTGTCAAGCAAGTTTTGCCACTGCTTTTGTAATGGTTTGTTATGGAGTTACATTTACAGTTACATTTTACATTTTAAACTTTTTTCTATATTTGTATATCTGTATGATAATATTATAATATCATATATCTTAAACACAATTGAGGATGTTAAACCACCACCTAATTAAAAAAATAATCAAAAATGTACTTCTACAAAAACTGGGGCATAATGGAGAATATTTCTGTATTATAATGATGTAGCAGAGATATCCATCCCATCAGAACTGTCTTCTTTATACCAATGCATTCAATTAAACCCATAAATAGACTATTAGGAACTAATGTATTGTTTACCCCTATATGTTAATAACACCTTTGGGAACAGGTTCGTATGGTTAATAGGTTAGGTTAACACAATGCTATTCTAATCGTACTGATCTAATATAAATGCTTTACAGTACAGCCATATACTGCATCCCTAAATGCATACCCATTTATAGACCTATATACCTCAGTGGACCACTAGGGTTTAAGTGCCCTGCTCAAACAGTGACACATCGAGTGAAAAAGATGGAATAAAACCTAAGACTTTTGCATTGCAGGGTGAGTACTCTTCCCACTGAGTCACCCACTATACCCCAAACACATATTAAAGTATATTACTACTGAGTAAATAGAAAGGAAAAGGCTTTTATTTTGAAGAGTTTAAGTGTCTGTAGAGGGACGCCATTACAGCCTTCCTCAAATTCAGATTTTGTCCACTTGTTCCCCCACAGGTTTCATCCCCTTTTTTTTCTAAGTTTTTATTTTTTATTTTTTACATGTTTTAGTGTAACAGATCATCAAAAATAATTATAATTTCAGACAAACATAAGCTGAATAAATACAAAAAGCCTTTTTCAAATGGTGATCTAATTTGTTCCCTCTTTGTTAAACCATTAATTATGATTTGCGACACCTAAATCCAGTTATTATATAACCTGTAGATTCAAGAAATCACTTTTGTTTTCTTTAATATTTTTTTTATCTTTTAAAAAACCTTTAAGATTTAAAGCAGCCCTTAATTAAATCTTGTTTAATAATCAAAAGAGCCTCACACTATGTCAAAGTGATCTGAAATGTATATCCTGACTGTGCTCATTAGAATATACAGAGTTATAAAACATAAGCTTGGCACATTTGACAAAAGTAATAAATGCATCATGTTAAAAATTCACTTGCTGTTATCTATTTATGTATTTATTTGCTTCTCTAAAAGAAAATGGAGAAAATGTAGGTGTTACGCTATTGCTCTTATTAGTGTTTTATCATGTGGGTAGATAAAACAGTCTATGTATAATTTGTTCACAACCTTTTAGTATGTAGTCTTTGACCTACCTTTTAAAAGCTTTTTCTGACAAAAACTTTGCATCACATCCAAAACAGATCATGATGAAGAAAAGAAAATTTGCAAAAATTAGAAATATGCATATAGAGAAGCAACTAATGATAAGAAAAATCATAGGAAAACTCTGAATGTTGTCAGACTCAGAACTGAAGGATCCAATATTCAAGGCGGACAAACAGATTTTTCAGAATCTTTATTGATAACAGAATCTGTGTGAATAAGTCTTACCAAAGGCTCAAATTTATCTGGCACTGATGACTTGTATGAAGGCTTGTTATAAAGTGACTAATGCAGCTGGAATAGATGAGCGCATAATGAGAACTGGGCGGAGCTAAGCAGGTGTGTGAAAAGAGTAATCAGACCAGACATCAATTCAATTCCAATTCAGTTAATTTATATAATTCAATTCAATTCATAACACATATCATCTCAAGACACATCAGTGCTGAGATCATGAAACAATGTATCTAATATTTGATCATGATTATAAATATCACTATTCTTTGTTGTTCCTTTAATAGTAACATCCCTAAGGGTTGGTATATGTATGCAGACAGCTCAAACGGTGCCTATGGTCAGATCTCTGATCTCCAAACACCAGTCATCTCCTCCACCGGACCCCAGTGTACTCTGATGTTCTGGTATCACATGAGTGGATTCACTGTTGGAACCCTGCAAGTAAGACAACCCCAGAGACACTTTGAACAAACTCTTAGTTTAAAAGCAAGATCCCATCCGAACTTAAAGGTCTGCTTTTCTTCTTTTATCTCATCTACAGGTGCTGCTCAGGCACAAAAACACGAGCCATGTGGTTTGGTCTCAAACTGGTAACCAAGGCAACAGATGGAGACCGGCTGAAGTGTTTTTGGGGTTATTAAATGATTTTCAGGTCTGTTGGATATGTTTTATCCCTAAATCTTGGGATGTGTTGTATGAAATATGCAAAATTACGAGTCACGCTGTTTACACTAGTCTAAAATATGGAGAAAAATGTTAACTGAGGATCGGTATAGATGTAAAAACCCAACATCTCTGCCAGTTGAGATTTTCTAGATTGATTATTATGTGGTTCATCATAGAAGTGGGTCATTGATTGATGTCTTTTATGGAAATGAGGAAATAACAACTAAAGATAGCAATAAGTTCCAGGTCGTTAGCCCTTTTCTATTGATCTTTGTATCTAATACTATAATATGAAATAAAGATTTCAATTGAGGCCCTTTACCTTGCAACTACTTTTTTTTTAAGTTTATGTGTATAAAATATTTAAAATTGCAATGGATGACTTAATCTTTAGTGTGTTTTTGACATAAGTGGGTACTATTTAGTTAGATTTACTCCATTACTTGAATAACTTCTTTGAATAAAATCTACTTTTAGTAGTAGATTAACTCCGACATACACCAAGATGTATTGTAAGGTTTCTGATACAAACTATAAATTACCTGTGATATCTTTTTCATTTTTATAAAGAGGGACATATTAGTATTAGCTTTTATTCACAATATCTGTTAATATCAAACAAGTGGTGCGTCTCCTCCTTTTGTTACTTTCACAGAATCCATTTGAACTTAAGTATAACATGATTTATGATACCATAATGCCATCTTCCAAGACAAATCATTCCATGCATAAATCTGTATGTAAATCTGATGAAGTAAAAAATTAATTTTATTTTGAAATGATCAGAAACCACAAAGGAGGTAAGATGGTAATGCTCAATAATAGATGAACCTAGAAAACAGAATGCATTTTGGCAAAAATAAGCTAATTTATTAGTGGATCTAGACATACATTGATTTAAAAGCTGTTTAAGAACATACTGTACATGAATGACAGCCTTGATCTATTATTCTTCATCAGGTTGTGTTCAGGACAAAACGAGGGATCAGCTACATGGGGGATGTAGTGATTGATGATGTCAGCTTCCCGAATTGCTCTCCTCTTCTTCCATCAGACCAGCCGTGCACACCAGAGCAGTTTGCCTGCTCTAATGGCCACTGCATCCCTAAGGACAATTTGTGTGACTTCATTAACCACTGCGGGGACAATTCAGATGAGGACCTTTTCATCTGCAGTGAGACCTCAGCCTCATTATCTCTGAGGAAGGATTAATTCCTAGATCATTAGAAAAGCTTGATTGATGTTCCTTTCTTTTATTGCTGTCTCTCAGAGGGCTTCAGCGGACGCTGCAATTTTGAATTTGACCTCTGTTCTTGGCACCAGTGCCAAGAGGATGACTTTGATTGGCGGATCAAAGCAGGCAGCACCCCGACTATTGGGACAGGACCATCCAGTGACCACACTCTGAGAGATCCATCTGGACACTACCTCTACCTGGAGAGCTCATTCCCTCAGGCAGTGGGTGACACGGCCCGGTTAATTGGACCCTTACTGAGCAGAAGGAGTTCACAGTGCAAGGTGAGTCCCCGGTTACATCACAGATCATTAAATACATTTTTATAAGACATAATCTGATCACATAAAGTGCGAATTTTTAAATGAAACTAAATAGATCTGAATGAATAAAGGTATAAGTGATACAAATACATATCTGGGAATAGAGTAAAATAGTTCAGTCATAATAAGAAACTTTTTATAGGTATGAAAATTTAACATTAAATTTATACACAAAGTAACATTCACACTTTTAATCTGAATTAAAAATGTAAAGTAGAATGGAACCAAATTGCAAGATTTGTTAGTGACCTCATGTTTTTTCCTCCTGGTTCTGGTTACCAATATTCAAAACAGTACTTGTGTCCTTTTGAGCTTCCTTCATGTGTTCATTAGTTTCTGATTCCACAATAGAGTTCATAATGTCGGCCTCAGTCGCCATGGAGACTACATGGCAGCTCCGTTACAGCTGTAGTTAGGTGTGGGCTATTATAACTTACTCTCATGTATGCTTAAATTGTTTAAACTGGTTTTGAGTTGGTTTTATTTGGAGCTAACTTATGTAAGCATCAAACCCTGGTAGTATTTTTACAGCCTTTTTTTTTTTCTGGTAGCCAGTTTATGGGCATTTGTAGAGGGCTAACAAAGTTTCCAAACATGCAGTGGAGAAGATCCTCAGCTCTTTAGGAGAAGGGTATGGGGTGGGGGTGGGGGGACAGAGGGTCATTAGGACACAAACCGGATGTCATTAGCGTATCTTTGAACATGTATTCACTCTGTCCCACTGACTGTTCCCCATAGCAGAATTAAACAAATGTTTTGAGATCAGTGCAGCCCCTCTACAGGATGGCTGCAATGAAAAATATAGTTGGCTGATTTGCCAGTTTCAGTTATGTCTGTCACCATGAGTCTATGAATTAACAAGATGTTATCAGCTATATCACTTAAATCCAATAATAGCAAGTGTTGTCTCTCACTCAACTATAATCAAAGGTGTTTAAATATTTAACACAGAGGCAGAACATTTTTAAATTAACTAAAAAAAAAGTTTTATTGAGTGAAATGTTAAATGATAAGTAAATCTGTTGAAGTACTTGTAACCATGCCTGAAATTTCTGGGGTTAATTTTTAACAAGAAAAGAAAATTCTTTAAAAATGAAGCTTATGAAAAAATTCAATATGGAAGACTCTTATCAGCCTCAGAGGGGGGCTGAGCTGTCAACCGATCAACACCTGGTGGTGAGCTGGATCCGCTGGCAGGTGAGGAAGCTGGTCAGACCTGGCAGGCCTAAGCGTGTTGTGAGGGTCTGTTGGGAACATAAGGTGGGTCCCTCTGTTAGTGCGGTCTTCAACTCCCCTCTCCTGACGTGTTTCTCCCAGATCCAAGGGGAGGTTGGAGACATGGAGTTGAAGTGCTTCATGTTCTCCTCCTCCATCGTCAATGCGGCCGTTCGTAGCTGTGGCCATAAGGTCTCTGGTGCCTGACGTAGCCGCAATCCCGGAACCTGGTGGTGGCACCCGGCCGTAAAGGATGCCATCAAGCTGCCGGCAGGCCAAGCATGCTGCGGCTCGTGCGGTCGCAGAGGCAAAAACTCAGGTCTGGTAGGAGCTCGGAGAGGCCATGGAGGAGGACTATCAGTCGACCTCAAGAATGTTCTGGCAAACTGTCTGCCGCCTTAGGAGGGGGAAGCAGTGCTTCACCAGCACTGTTTACAGTGCGGCTGGGGAGCGGCTGACCCCAACTAAGGATGTTGTTGGGCGGTGGAAGGAGTACTTCAAGGATCTTCTCAATCCCATCGCCACACCTTCCAAAGAGGCAGAGGCTGGGGACTTAGAGGCTGACTCGCCCGTCGGCCAGGCTAAAGTCACCAAGGTAGTTAGAAAGCTCCTCGGTGGCAGTGCCCCGGGGGTGGATGAGATTCATCCTGAGTACCTGTGGCTGTTGTAGGTCTGTCTTGGCTGACACATCTCTGCAGTATCGCGTGCCGGTCGGGGACAGTACCCCTTGATTGGCAGACCGGGGTGGGGGTCCCTCTCTTTAAAAAGAGGGACCGTAGGGTCTACTCCGATTACAGAGAGATCAAACTCCTCAGCCTCCCCGGTAAGGTTTATTCCGGGCCGGTGGAGAGAAGGATCCGACCAATAGTCGAACCTCAGATCCAGGAGGAACACTGCAGTTTTGGTCCAGGTCGCGGCACACTGGACCAGCTCTATACCCTACATCGGGTGCTCGACGGTTCGTGGGAGTTCACCCAACCAGTCCACGTGTGTTTTGTGGACTCCCCTCTTCAGGTCGTTGGAGAGTCCTTGTCTCAAGTGGAGGAGTTCAAGTATCTCGGGTCTTATTTACGATTGAGGGACGGATGGAGCGTGAGATTGACAGACAGATGGGTGCAGCCTTGGCAGTGATGGGGTCGCAGTATGGGACTGTCATTGGGAAGAAGGAACTGAGTCGTGGGGTAAAGCTCTTGTTTTACCGATCAATCTAGGTTACCAGCCTCACCTATGGTCATGAGATCTTGGTAAGGACTGAAAGGACAAGATCACGAATACAAGCGGCCGAAATTAGTTTCCTTCGTGGCTGGGCGCACCCTTCGAGATCGGGTGAGGAACTCGGTTACCCAGGAGGAGCCCTCGGTAGGTGTTCCAGGCATGTCCTATTGGGAGGAGGCCTTGTGCAAGGCCCAGGACACACTGAAGGGAGTATGTCTCTGAGCTGGCCTGGTGTCATCTTGGGTCCCCCCAGAGCAGCTGGAGGAAGTATGTGTACATTGGGAAGTACATCTCCTCACCCATGACTGCAGACCTGTCCATGGCTCTAAAGCCATCATCAAGTTTGATCTGCCTCATCAGAGACAACGATGAGGCCGTCTACAGGGAGGAGGTGGACCGTCTGGGTGAGTGGTGCGACAAGAACAACCTGCAGCTGAACACAGAGAAGGCCAAGGAGCTCACTGTAGACTTCAGGAGGAGCGCTGACCTACACCCACCCATCCACATCAAGGGGATAGCGGTGGAGCATGTGGGCAGCTTTAAGTTCCTGGGAGTCCACATCTCCGAGGACCTGACCTGGAGGACCAGCTGCTCCAAACTCATCAAGAAGGCGCACCAGCGCCTCTTCTTCATGAGGACCCTAAGGAAGAACCACCTGTCCTCAGAGATCCTCACGAACTTCTACAGCTGCACCATTGAGAGCATCCTCACTAACTGTATTACAGTTTGGTATGGGAACTGCTCTGTTGCCGACTCTGTTGCAGAGGGTGGTGAAAACTGCCCAGCACATCGCCGGGACACCACTCCCTACCATCAAGGACATCTATAGGAAGCGATGTCTGAAAAGGGCTGGGAAAATCACCAAGGACTTCACTCACCCTGCACACACACTCTTCTCCCTTCTGCCCTCTGAAAGGCGTTACAGAACCCTACGGACCAGACCCACCAGGCACCGGAACAGCTTCTTTCCCACAGCTGTCACGCTCCTGAACACCTCCTGACACAACTATAAGGACTGTATCCCCCCATACAATAATAACGCATCCTCAAACAGTATCTGTATATATTATCTGTATATAATCTGTAAATCTTATCAGCCATTATTTATCTTGTATTATAAACCTGCTAATACATATATAAGCCTTTTCCTAACATTCCTGTATATTCTATATAATCTGTATAATCTGTGCATGTAGCTCCCATATTCATAATTATATTTACATTTATACACAACTTTTTACAGTCCCTAACTATTATTATTACCTGTAATAATATTATATCCTGTATAGCACTTCTGGATAGATGCAAACCACATTTCGTTGCTTTGTACTCGTGACAGTGCAATGACAATAAAGTTGAATTCTATTCTATTCTGTTCTAAGTGTGGGCATCTTTGCTTAGACTGCTGCCTGGTCCTGGATAAGCAGAAGAAGATGGATGGATGGATGGATGGATGGATGGATGGATGGATGGATGGATGGATGGATGGATGGATGCATGGATGGATGGATGGATTGATTGATTGATTGATTGATTGATTGATTGATTGATTGATTATCAGCCTCACCTGAACCACCTACTGATGTCCAACATCAATCTCCACCCAATCCACATCAGGACTGCACCTCCTCAGAAGCCAATCATCTTTCATGATCACCTTCATTTAGCTTCTGTTCAAGCTTCCCTGTTCCATGCCAGCAAAGTTTCACCCACCTCCACCCAATCTCCTCCCTCACTTTCAGGCTGTTCTCAGTCCCAATTATCCTCTGGCTTATTCCACCACCAGTGACCAGACCCGAAAGGGCTCTAATCTTTTTCCTAAGTTACTCACCCATGTGAATGGTTATTTACAGCATCAAACTCTTCTGCCGGAGCCCAAGCGCCAAATAACTTATTTCCTTCATGCCAATTCCACCTTTCTAATTGCATCTTTTCTCTGTTAGAGTCTCTCCAGGTTGGATTGAAAATGTGCTGATGCACTTGTTTGAAGCTGTGTGCTAGCTACTGTCAGCCTTCATTTGGACTGACTTCTTGATAGACTGCCCCTCCTACTCTGTTTCAAGCAGGTCTTATCATCATCTTGAATTGTCAATCCATCATAGAGTCAGTGAGAAGGCAGGAAGGAAATGAAGGGGAGGGCCGGGAAGACATCTTCTTCCCTGAAGGAAAAATGCAAAAGACCAGCTGTCACTGATTAAAAAAAATCTGTTTCTAGAGGGTTTTTTCTTTTGTTAACAAAAAGCAAGCAAGAAAAAAAAAAATCAAAGATTGGCCAAGGAGATTAAAACTAAGCAATTACTTTATTTGGTTTGCTGGAAATGACTTAATCATATTAATAGTTAGTTTAAATATTTAGATTTGTTTAAGCAGATTAGTTTAATTTAACCATTCAAATAAACTGTGTAGAATAGTTTGCATATGAATGAGTATAAAACTTTGTACAGGTTAGACAAGGGTCAAGACATTAACACACATAAAATCGATTATGAGATTATGAGACAAAATCAATTACTGAGGATGATGAAATAAGATGATGATATTATGCTATTAGGAAACTGGAAATAAGGGGGAAAAAATTCAAAATACTATTTGCTTTTTTGTTTATTTTTCTGAATTGATATCAAAACAACAAACTGGGATAATGTGGTTTCATGAATTTAGAATCAAGAATCTTTATTGTTATAAAACTAAAACTAAATGTTGTTGAGAGACTGAGCCCAGAGAAATTAAAACCACAAGTAGCAAAATAAAAAAGCAGAGCACACCTTTAGAAATATCAAATAAAATAAAATAAAACTTAATTTATATAAAAGAAATGAATCGTGACAAAATGGATTTTGATGTTTCTTTCAGGGTTTTATATTTAATGTTTTCAATAAAAAAGGAAAACGAATCCAAGATTTATGTTGTTTGTTTCTGTTAAAATCTCCATTCCACTTTTTTGTTGTTGTTTTTATTTAAGAATAATTCAAATAAGTAAAAAAATGAAAGATATCAATATTTTTTAAATAACTCTAAGGAAAGGGTATGGTAGAAGCATATATCTAAGAAAATGATATTCATTTAAGTTACTTAAATATGCTAGAAATTAATATGATCCTGAAAATACTGTGTTTCTTGGCAGATGCGTTTCTACTATCACATGTCTGGAGATGGTGTTGGGACGCTCAGTGTTTTTACTAAAACTGAGGGAGCTTTTCACCTCCTGCTGAACCTGACAGGAGATCAGGGTAACTACTGGAAAATGAAAGAGCTCCAGCTGAGGTCCTCCACAGACTTTCAGGTCGTGTTTGAAGGCAAGGTTGGGCGCAGCGAAAAGGGGGACATCTGCCTGGACGATATCTCCTTCTCTCTAGGATGCCTCCTCTCCCCTTCAGCCTCCATAACACACAGCACTCCTCCTCCGTCTGTTCCTCCAACAGGTACAGTTCACTTCAGGATGGGTATGAATTAACATGCAGCCTTTTCTCTTTTTTAACTACTGATAATGTTACAGAAATGAGATGGCAGTGATTTATATTGAAATATTTAATCCACTGGTCAGTTCAAGGATTTTAACCCTTTGTCTCCTCACAGTTTCTGTCAACTATGATTCCTGACAGTTCTTTTACGTTGGATAAGCAGATTATCTTTTCCCATTTCAGATATGTCATTGCCAGGGTAGAGCTGTCTCCACTAGACCCCTTAGGGAGTGTGTGTGAGCCTAAATCAGTAATTTCTATACACAAACTGTCCAGAATGCAGGAGCTGATTTAAAGCATGACAACATGCAGCTTATTGCAGAAGTACTCAGATTGATAACATTGTTTTAAACATTTTATCATATTACAATCTAAAGTTTCATAGAATTGTAGTGGATTAATGGGATAGATTACCACAAAGTGCATAATTATAACGTAATGGCGGCTGGTGGGGATTTCGCCGGGGGGGGGGGGGCTATACGTTAAAAATAGACGTATACCAAAAACCAATCAGACATATACTACGTTATCACACCAGTATATTCATATGAATGCCAAAATCAAAAAACATTATAAAAACACTCTATAAAAACAAACATAATTTTATGCACAGGTTTCCTTTTTGTTCATAAATCTTGCCCTTTTGAGGCTTTGTGAAGGTAAATCTGTGTTTTGCATGGTCCAATTAATGTCACAGATCTAAAAAATAATGTACCAATTTAATGGAGAAGCTATTAGTCAGCTTTATATTTTGTTTAATATTTAAAATAATTTAGATTTATTGTCTGAGAATGTGTTTATTTAAGAAAAATGATGCAAACTAATAAACATCTAGACAAAGTACACCATATTATATTATTTTACATGTGAATCCCGGTTTGTTCATTCTACTATGCCTTTTCTAAAAGTGCTTCAAACTGAGCTCCTTACCCTATCTCAAAGGGTGCACCCAGCCACCCTGCGAAGCTCATTTCGGCTGTCTGTATTCGCCATCTTGTCCTTTGGGTCATTACCTAGATCTCATGACCATAGGTGAGGGTGGAAACATAGATTGATTGGTAAATCGAGAACTTTACCCCCCTACTCAGCTCCCACAACTGCATTAGTGCTAACGCTGTACTGATCTGTACTGATCTGCTCCATCCGTCCTTAACTCATGAACAAGACCCCAAGATAATTGAACTCCCCCACTTGAGACAAGGACTCCCCAACGACCTGAAGAGGGGAGTCCACCTTTCTCCTGCGCAGAACCATGGCCTCGGATTTGAAGGTGCCGAACCTCATCTTGGCCGCTTCACATTTAACTGCATACCACCCCAGTGCACGCCAAACGTCCTGGTTTGATGGGGCCAACAGGACAACATCATCTGTAAACAGCAGAAATGATATCCTGAGTTTCAAAAACCAGACATGGAAAACCTCCGGTCCCTGGCTGTGCCTACAAATTCTGTCCATAAATGTAGTGAACAGGACCGGTGACAAAGGGCAGCCCTGACTGAGACCAACATGCACCGGGACCAGGTCTGAATTACTGCCGGCAATGTGAACCAAGTTCCTGCTGCGGTCATACAGAGAACGGACAGCCCTTAACAGAGGGCCCCACAACCCACACTCCTGGAGCACCCTACACGGTAGCACAAGGGACATGTTTAAACGCCTTCTCCAAATCCACAAAACACATGTGGACTGGTTTGATGAACTCCCACGAACCTTTGAGCACCCGATAAAGGGTATAGAGGTGGTCCAGTGTGCTGTGACCTGGACGAAACCGCATTTCTGTCCCACGTGTCAGTACTGAGCTGGGTAAAAAGGCCTTTGCTTATTCTGCTCCCTTTACATAGAATTTGCTGCAAAATAATTTGAAACTTAGTAAATTGGTTCGTTTGAATACTTTTAAGCTGAGAATGAGATGTTTTGAGTTGGACAACTGGCCAATCCAGGGGTACCGTCCCACCCCGAGATATTGCAGCGATGTAGTCCTACAACATTCAGAGACTTAAGGTACTCAGGATGAATGTCATCCATCCCTGGGCCCTGCCACCAAGAAGCTTTCTAACTACCTCAGTGACTTCAGCCTGGCTGATGGGGGAGTCCGCCTCTAAGTCCCTAGGTTGTATCTCCTGGATAGACCTCCTGGAAGCCGTAACGATGGAATTTAGGAGATTCTCGAAGTACTCCTTTCACTGCCCAACGACATCCCCAGTCGAGGTCAACAGCTCACCACCTGCACTGTAAACAGTGTTGGTGAAGCATGTGTACCGTAGAAAGTAAAAAGATTAGTTATTGAAAGGAAAATGCTGAGATATATTTTAAGATGCCAGATGTTTTGTAATCAACCTCATACTTGAGAAAGTATGGCTTGTGCTCAAAACATGAAAGTTAAAACATTTGTTTATCTATTTTTTGCTTTCGAGGTTATATGCGTTCTTTATAACAGAATCGTAATAAAGTGTATTGATCCTTTCTTAAGAGTAACTGTTGGGACACCTAATGGAACCCAAATACAGTGTGTGCTTTCTGATCAGCGATAAGTAAAACTTCTGCTGTAAAGGGAGCTTTATACAGCTCTATAAAATCCATTCAGGCATTGGGTGTGTGTGTGTGTCGTGTTCCCAGGTAACAGCTGTGACCTTTGGATGCTGCATAACAACATAGTCAGACTGAAAGTCAACAGCGCACAATTCGTCCCCTAAATGCATTACAGTAAAAAAAAAAAAAAAAAAGGATTCCAGCTGCACTAAAGTTTACTTCAGTTACTTTTCATGCCTCTTAACTACCAGGGTGTTTTACTGCCTTCTCTATAGTACTTCTAAGATTTTCATTAAATAGCAGCACATTTAATTTCCTGAAGGACAGATTTCCTTTTAATCTAATTGCGCATTTTAAAAATCATTGCTAACATGACAAAATATACCTCAAGAGTCCAATTAAAATATTTTCCTGATTTTAGGAAGGGTATCAATTCTCTGTAGATAGGCGCAATTTTAATCAGCTTTGCTGTGGCACTTTTGGCAGTCAGATTAATTATATCTGCTTGGAAATTCTATGGTAACAATGTGGTTTGTGCAAAGTGTTAAGATAGTTTGTCAGATTTTGTAGGGAAATGTCATCTAAGCAGTGTAAAATCAGCTTCCTACAGTCTTTTTCTGGCTCATCTCTCAAAAACACCTACCTATTTTATGAGGGAACCTTTAAAAGGGATGATAAAATAACATGAGCAGATTTATTACCTCTGTCTCTTTGGTTACAAAGGGTCTGTTAAAGATGTGGCTCAACTGTTGAGTTAAATATCATGGGAGATGCAGTTGTTGGAGGGTTCGTAAACAACAAAGACCGAAACTTTAGTTATATCCTTCATTTTTAGACATTTGTTTGTGTTTCTGTGGAGCCCTTGCTTTTCAGTACAATATCGATCTTTTTTATTTTAATGCGGCTATTTATAAATGTGTCAGATCCACAATTTACTACCTTAATGGGTAATCAACAGGAGGTCTTCTGCAGTGGTGTTGTATCTGTCTTGTGGATGTCAACAATCCACAAGACGTGTGGCTCCACGTGCCTCTACATTTCTAAAGGTTGCATTTACTTCAATTAGTTTTCCTTTAGATTCTATCAGCGAACTCTGATTCTAACCATAAACCTAACCATTAATAGCAGACATAACCTTAAACCCTTTTTGTGATGTTATGCTAAAGCAAATAGAAATGATTTTTTTTTTCAAATATTGGCAATACATATGGATGATAGATGAGGAACTTATAGCAGAAAGAGTAATAAAAGCACTTAAAGACTGAAATGGAGTTTACAGTACATCCACTGGCTCTCAGTAATTGAGCAGGAAGCGAGGAGAGGAATTGTAGCTAAAACCAGATCTTTCTGTCCGTATGTTGGCAGGATGTACAGTAATAGAGATGAGACAAGAGGCAGCAGGAACTGTAATTGCAGACCATTGCTCCTCAGGGGCTTTTTTTCTGCCAAGCCTCAGTCTATATACCATCACCTGATGCAGCAGTAAGGCGAACTGCACCCCAGAAGCATCTTTTGTTTGTTCTCATAACGATACAGCCACTTTATAGTGGATCATAAAAATTATCATATTTGTTTCATGAATAATATGCTAATTCGTTTTCCATTTAATACAGTTATGAATGCTCACATTGGAGTATGTGAGCATGTATATGATTTATCCAACGCCATAAAATAAAACCTTGAAAATTAGAAGCAAACAAATCAGCATAGCAAATGTCCATTCTTTATTAAGATCATTATCAGCTTGTTAAACATGCAGCAGTGTTCTCTGCCTAATGAAAGTGCTGGAAGCATGATTTTATATTGGGTCCAGGATAATTGGAAGAAAACGATTAAAGGAAAGTACAGTGTGTTCAAACATAGCTTGCCTTTCCACCATATTTTTTTCCTCAGCATAGTCTAAAGCAAGCATACAATGTATTTTCCATGAAAGAGGTATTTTGTATAGTGGTTAAAGAAGGTCTATACTTATTAAAAATGTCAAATGTTTCAATAAAATTAGGAACTGAAGAAAAATTATTTGTTTTTAATGAAACAGAATGTAACAGTTTCAGCGGGAAGAAAAACATTATGCTTAAACAGGTGAATGTATAATGGCATATTTTTGCAATGAACATATTTTTTGTTGCTTTATAAATCCATCCATCCATCCATTTTCCATCATGCTTATCCCTGCTGGGCTCACGAGGGTTTGTTTTATAAATGTCTTTTTATAATTACATTAGATAGAGATTGAAGTTATACCCCTAAATAAAAGCTTGCAAAAACAATTTTCTTATAAAAGTTAATATTATTAGCAATGAGAAGGCCTTTTGAAACTGTGTAGGAGTCACACCCTAATCACTTTGTTGGATTGGTGAAACACAGTGTTGGCGGAATCATGCTGTGAGGAAGATTTTTATTTGAATGAACAAGGCAACTGTTCGGGGTGAAATCGGCGGCTAAATGTGTACGTATGACTCAGTCGGAAGTAGTTTAGAAAGAAGTACAGACAAAAATATGAGTTTTTTTTTTCTTTGAAAAGTTTGTGGAGACATTCTTTGGAAAATTTGCAGCTTTAACTTCAACAAAAGGCAGTTTTACTAGCATTGACTTAATTTATATGAAGAAATTATACTTTGTGTGTCTGTTACAAAGGATTCCCCTAAAATGCATTTAATTTTCCCTCAGTCATATGAGACATTTCTAATATATTATTTTCCCAGACACAAGGTTGTTTTTAATTGTGTTGCATTAAAAAGTTAATCCTGTCAATATTAAATAAACAGAACAATTCACAAATCAGATACGGAAGGTTCATAATTTTTTATTCAGTCAACCAATGTTAGAATATAGTACAATTAACTGTCCTTTTAATCTTGTGTAGTACAACAAAAGGTGCTGACCAGCTCATGAGATAACTCTTAGGTAAAGTAATAAGGAAATATGGGGATAGGTGGAGGGCATGATTGTGTGGGATTAGTCTCAGAGAATGAACAAAAGCTGAAACAAGATGAAACAGTTTATTTAGACAGTGCAGACACAATGCAGCATAATGATGAGCCAGAATGTGCAAAGCAGGAGCAAGTTGATTGTTACAGTTTATCTTACTTGGTTACTTTTGTTTGAAATACCAAGTTCAATTAAAATCCATCCACTAGAGGGAAGTATGTCCCTCAGGGCAGCTGATCGGATCATGACCCTGAAGTAATCCATATAGAACATGTTTTGAATGCATTTTTTCGTATGGGTAACAGTGAGAGGGTGACAGGTGTGGAGAGGCAGTGACTGATTTAGAAGATCCTCTCTGTAATATATGTTTTTTTCTCTAAAATGCAGGGGACAGTTGGGAGTCAGGAGTCCCCTCTTCCTGGCTTCCTCTGTTCCTTTTGTTGGGTCACATTGCTTCTGGTTCTCTGCACCTCAAGAGAAACAAAGGATTAGGAAGGACTTACACCCCTTTCTCGTCTTTAATTACAGAGACCACCCTTCTTCCTTTCTAACATTCCCCTCACCCTAAAGCTGAGCACTGACCCTGCTGGAATGCTAGGCTCCAATAAAAGCAGATCCCCCACCACCATCCCCTTCCAAGTATCGCCATCAATGATACAGTGATTTGAGCCTAAAGCTCCATGCTCCTGTGTCCTTTCTAAGCCTCTTAGAGAATCTACAGCTCTGTGCACAGAAGGGTGCCTTGAAGGTTTAACAGCACTGCTGGGATGCTGGTTAATCTTGTGAAAAGTTGTTTTTTTTCAGTGTCCAGATTTCTTCATTCTGTTTAACCATCTTTTAAAAGTAAAATCTGGCAGATTAAATAATGCACATATTAACTGCAAATTAAGTTTGAAACATGATGTGTTGAATATAAAAAAAGAGATAGAAACTTCTATGATTTATATGTCAAAAGATTTGAAGACGTTTGAAGGCATGTGTTTGTGCTTCCTGTCTTTTTTAGTTCAAAGCTATATATTTGATCTGTTTGGATATACTATTGGATATACATTCTGTTTTCAGTGGTGTTGATGAAAGAAGTTTAATTCTCACACTGCTACCTGCCTTTAGTTACACTATTCCTGAGTCTGCAGCTTAAGATAACTGTTATCTTTAAGCTTTCTAATTAATTTTAGAGCAGGTAGTAACTTGATTATCTTACCAAGGCCAGAAGATTTTTCTGACCTCTGACCAAGAAAGATTGAAACATCTTAAAGATATTATTCCTTGAATACATCACTGAGTTGAATATTAAACAAGCTGAACAGCCCTTCACAGAAAACTAATCAATGTGCAAATAAGGGCATATGGGATCATTGAGATTATTTATCGTCTTTTTTCCAGGGTTCTGTCCACCAGGCGCATCTGTTTGTGGAAAAGGCCAGTGTTTCACACCAGAGCAGAGGTGTGACTTTGAGGATGATTGTGGCGATGGTACGGATGAGAAAGACTGTGGCACCTCCTGCTCTTTTGAGAACGGCCTCTGTGGCTGGAAGAGCTCACTGGCTGATAACTTTGAGTGGGCACTTGGTACCGGATCTGTACAAAGTATACGGCCACCATTCGATCACACGCTGCAGGATGAAAACGGTATGGGATCAAATTTAGTCCACAGCCAATAAATCTGTTTAAATAAAGTGTTTAGATTGCTGTTTATTTACTAAGGTCTGATTTTTATCACAGCATGAATGAGAAATGGATAAAAAGAAAATTCTACTCAGGGCACAGACTCAATCAATGAGCTGTGACACAGTATGATAATATCCCTAAAATTGGGAACTCACAGTATTAATCTAAATGTCATTAAAATCTCTTTGAAAAGGGGCATTGCAATCAAAACAATTTAAATAAATACCAAAGTAAAGCTTGGTAATTAACCCATCCTAATTATTAAACATGCCTAAGTAGTCAAGAAGTGTAAAAATAATTAGGAAAAGACTAATTTATAATAATGTATAAAACTTGGGTTTTAAAACTAACACACATACTGTTATCAGAATAACTTCATAGCTACAAGGCATCAAATTATATTTAATTAGTATTAAATGCAGAAGAGTATGAATATTGAATATTGAATGCCAAGGAGCATAGTAGTGTGATTATTAGCATTAACTTGTTGAACATTGCATGCTGAATATGAGATGCCTGCATCCTCTTTAAATCTTTTGGAAGTAATCTGATGAGAAATGAATTAAATCTGATTACTTAATTAGGAACCTCTATTTAGGTTTAGAAAATTGATACTTTGTCCAATCTGCAGCCCCCTCACATCTGTTTTTCTACCATTGTTTTGTATCCCAGAAGAAGAAAACCCCAGAAAAGCACGAGGGTGTTTTTACATTTGCAACTAAATATCTGGCTATAACTCTTGTAAATATGTCTTTGGTGTAATGGTAAATGACTGGAAATTAAAGATTAACATAATCAAATAAAACAGGGTAATTATCACTTTCACTTCTGCAAAGCATTAAGCAAATTATCCAGTGAACAGATTAAAACGTACTATTCGAAGCAGTGGCCAGATGTGCTTTCAGACATAAAGATGACTTTTCCAGATGCTTTCTTTGATTTCAATTCAGCAATGTTACAATGTTCCTTCCCTCTTTATGAATTTTCCTTAACAAACAACGAGTGACCAGTAGCAGTTTTAAGCAGTTTTCCAGTGGGTTTAATAGATTCTTAAATTTTGGCCTTATTACTCTTCTCCTTCATCTCCTCTCATCTTCTTTGCCTCTCCAGGCCATTTTGTGTATTTGGAGGCGACGCCGGTGGGACTGAAAGGCGACAGAGTTCACATAAAGAGTTCGGTTTGGAAAGAATCAAGTGCTATCTGCAAGCTGTCCTTTTGGTACTATCTTTCCGATAAGGCCTCAGGGACCATCCGGCTACTGATCAAGGTAGGCAGAGCTTTGATTGAGTCAAAAAAAGAAGATAAGAGGAAATTAATTCAGTCATTGCGCTTTGTCAGTCATGGTTACCATGGTAACACTCAGCCAGTGAAGCCTATAATTAATTATGTAAATATCCACACTATATTCATAGTAAATTGGTTAAGAGTTTGATAATGCTGCCAGTCTACCAGTGTTTGATCTGTGGCTGTTGAATAGGAGTGAATTGGGGGTCATGGTTCTCTCCTGGGCCAAAAATTCCCCTACCCCCACCATCTTAATGAAGTTCATTTCAGCAAGCTCTTAAAAGGGACTATCACATCATCCTATAACTATACAAATTATATGCTTGCATTAAAATAAAGCAATACACACCAACCGTTTGTCCTGATAATCATTACTTAGTCCCTTTTGAGCTTGAAAATATTTTTTTTCAGGCACTATCAACACACAAACATTGTTGTCAGTATTTAATCACACCACCATCCACTTGACAGATCCAAGACTTTGGCAGCAGCTTCACTTACACAAACTTTCATTGTGTCTTATTCCACTTGTCATCTTATATCTTTCCTTCAACACCTCCCCCAGGGAAATTGTGTCAAACAAGTTATATAATAACTCAAAAAAGTGCCATAATTTAGTCAGAAATCCTTTATATATTTGTATATTTAATCTTTGCTGACATGCTGATGGTCCTTAGGTATATAGTTGTGTACTTCGGTGGGCACCGTCTCATCCGGTGGCTGCCTGGCTGGGCCTGTGGGGTCCCCACTAGGGGGTGGTGCGTCCCCAGGCCTTGGACCCCTAGGCTCTCACATGGGTCCACCTTGGGGGTGACAGGCTGCCAGCGACCTAGGCACTATGGCCTCTGAGCCCCTTTAGTGTTTGGTCCATCAGGGGTCTGGCTCTGGGTGCTCTTGCCAGCCCTTCAGTGGTGGAGGGGCCATCCCTATGTCTACCCTTCTTCTGTCCCAATGATCTGGGCAGCCTCTAGATATCTGGGGCTAGGATTGGCTCTTTATTGGTCCAGGGCCCTGTAGGCCCCTGTAGGGTGAGTCTGGGGCCACCCACACCTGCTATTGATTTATATCAGGTGTGGATTTACATTTGTAAATCCTTTATACACCAGCATGCCCATCCTTTCATACCACAGGAGTTGGGTTCCAGGTGTTCATGGATACACAGTAATACTAAACACCAAGCTGCAGTTAAAAAAAAATATTGTGTAATCCCCATAGGTTTTGCCACCCACACACATGGATATCTAAAGGATACCCACTGCTCTTGAAGCTTTTTCTTGATGTTTTATTTGGCTGTCTATTGTCTTTTTGCTTTTGTTATGTTCTCTGTTTTCAGTTCCTCTCATATCATACAGGTGTGGGAGGAGATATGTAGGAGTTCCTGTATATATTCTGTGTGTTTGCTGTATTTTGAACTGAGAAAGCTTTCTGGATGGGAAGCGAAACATCTTCAGTCTAGGAAAACAAAGTCTAGTGGTTTGTTTTTTTAACTGTAATGTTTTGGAATACTATGACCTGGATGACTGAGAATCTTCACCAGCACATTCTGTGTTAATTTTTCTTATTTTCATGCGGTGTTTCCTGTCTTTATTTCTATCTCTTGGTTTGTATACCCTCTTTCTTTCTCACCTCCCTTTCCATCCCTGTTGTATTTGATTTTACTCCCAAAATAACTTTAAATAAAAGTTTAATATACAAGTACCTAGCAAAACCTTATGACAACAGTCATATTAGTCTGCTTGTAAAGGAAATCTATTGGGCCATCATCTAGCTCTGGGACATCTATTCCCAGACCTATATTGGCAAAACAGAACACACAAAAATAAGAAATCCTTTGTATGACACCAGAGGGAGTTCAGATATGGAAATATATAAAGTTATTTAAGTCTGTGATTCTTAAAGGTTTAAAGCTTAATTGGCCTCATGTTTTTGCCATAAAAGCCTATGCGTAAAGATGGAGCAACATAGATTCTGCTTTTTTTCCTCTAGATTTCTTTGCTTATCCATTTTCTCTCAGCTTTGTTTAACTTTAGCTCACTGAAGGTCAAACCATTGCTGTTGACTCATTCTCCTCATATGTCTGTGCGGTAAAACTCTATCCTTTATCTTTTCTCTTATGAGAGAGGTTTTTGGTTTGATTTCCCTGGTGAAACAGTTTTTGCTGCTGCAGACTTATAGTAGTATA